CCTCCTCCTCCTCCTCCTCCTCCTCCTTCTGTTCTTCTTTCTTCTCCTCCTCCTCCTCTCCATCTCCTTCCCCTTCCTCTCTTCCTCCCCCTTTTCCTTTCCCTTCCTCCTCCTCCCTTTCTCCATCCTCTACTCCTCCTCCCCTTTCTCTTCGCCTTCCCCTTCCTTTTTCCTCCTCCTCCCCTCCTTTCCTTCTCCTCCCACTTCCTCTCCTCCTGCCCTTCCTCTTCTCCTCCTCTCCTTCCCCTTTCTCTTTCTCTTCCCCTTCCTTCTTCTTCTTCCTCCTCCTCCTCTTCTTCCTCCTCTTCCTCCTCCCACTTCCTCCCCTCCTCCTGCACTTCCCCTTTCTCTTTCCCTTCCCCTTCCTTTTTCTTCCTCCTCCTCCTTTCTCCTCTCCTCCTCCTTCCCTTCTCCTTCATCTCCTCCTCCCTTTTTCTTTCCCTTTCCCCTTCCCCTTTGTTCTTCCTCTTCCCCCACTTCCTCCCCTCCTCCTCCTCCTGCACTTTCCCTTTCTCTTCCCCTTCCCCCTCCTTCTTCTTCCTCCTCCTTCTTTCTCCTCTCCTCCTCCTTCCCTTCTCCTTCATCTCCTCCTCCCTTTTTCTTTCCCTTTCCCCTTTCCCTTTGTTCTTCCTCTTCCCCCACTTCCTCCCCTCCTCCTCCTCCTGCACTTCCCCTTTCTCTTCCCCTTCCTTCTTCTTCCTCCTCCTTCTTCCTCCTCTCCTCCTCCTTCCCTTCTCCTTCCTCTCCTCCTCCTCCTCCCTTTATCTTTCCCTTTCCCCTTCCCCTTTGTTCTTCCTCTTCCCCCACTTCCTCCCCTCCTCCTCCTGCACTTCCCCTTTCTCTTCCTTCTTCTTCCTCCTCCTCCTTCCCTTCTCCTTCCTCTCCTCCTCCTCCTCCTCCCTTTTTCTTTCCCTTTCCCCTTCCCCTTTGTTCTTCCTCTCCCCCCACTTCCTCCCCTCCTCCTCCTCCTGCACTTCCCCTTTCTCTTTCCCTTCCCCTTCCTTCTTCTTCCTCCTCCTCCTCCTTCCTCCTCTCCTCCTCCTCCTCCCCTTCTCCTTCCTCTCCTCCTCCTCCNATAGAATAGAATAGAATAGAATAGAATAGAATAGAATAGAATAGAATATTGGAATGAAGAATGGAATGGAGTGGAATAGAATAGAATATTGGAATGAAGAATAGAATAGAATAGAATTCTTCATTGGCCAAGTGTAATTGGACACACAAGGAATTTGTCTTTAGGGCCTAAACTCTCAGTGTACATAAAGAAAAATAAAAATACATTCATCAAGAATCATAAGGTGCAACACTTAGTGGTAGTCAAAGGTTATTAGTAATCTATCAAATTATACTAGCAAACAATACAACAATATAAATTACAAAGATACAAGCAACATGGTTATAGTCATAAGTGGAAAGAGATAGGTACTAGGAAAGAGATAGATACTAGGAAGAAAGAGAAGAATAATAGTAATACAGTCTTATTAAATAATTTGACAGTGTTGTAGGCATTAGTTGTTTAGCAGAGTGATGTCAATCAGAAAAAAACACTGTTGTGTCTAGTTGTTCTGGTGTGCAATGCCCTAAAGTGTCTTTTTTGAGGGCAGAAGTTGAAACAATTTATGTCCAGGATGTGATGGGTTTAGCTTTAGTCTGGCAAGATTCTGTCTGTTCAGTTCAAACCAATAAAAAATATTGGGCTTGACCAGAATTCTATGGTGTTGACTTTGGACTTGAGTGTGACATCTAATGCTTCTCTGTTGTTGTGTTCCAGAGTGATCTTGGAAGATGTCGAACCTTGGCAACAGCGATACCAAGCCCCCTTGTCTACCCCGGAATGGACTCGTTAAGCTCCCCACCCAGGCCAATGGACTCGGCTCCGCGAGCATCACCAAAGGGACTCCAGCGATGAAAAACCGCCTGTGCCAGTCTTCCGTGCCTGCAATCATCAGCCCAGCCTTAATGAATCACAGTGACCTGTCCATGCCTGGCCTCACTTCACCATTGTCTTTGGCGGCTCTGGCAGGAGGGCCTTCAGGAGCCACCATGGTGGGACTTCCCGCCGATGAGATTTCTCCAGCCAACGGCGACCTCCCATCCCTGGGTGACCTCTCTGGCTCCCCCACCAAAAGGCACCTGGCTGTGGATGAGAAGATCCTGAACCGCCTGTTTATGTACTTTTCAGCCTGTGAGAAATGCATCCTGGCCCAGGTGTGCAAAGCGTGGAGGAGAGTCTTGTATCAACCCAAATTTTGGGCGGGTCTCACGCCGGTGCTGGACACCAAAGAACTCTACAACGTCCTGCCCAACGGAGACAAGGAGTTTGTCAACCTTCAAGGTTTTGCCATCCGGGGGTTTGACGGTTTCTGCCTTGTGGGGGTTTCCGACTTGGACATCTGTGAGTTCATCGATAATTACGCCCTCTCCAAGAAAGGGGTGAAATCTATGAGCCTTAAGAGATCGACCATCACAGATGCAGGTCTTGAGGTAGGTCTTCTGCTGCCCGGCTAATGGTGGTGCCTCTGTTGCAGAGTCCAGTCTGGGGTCTCTAGAGCAGCGGTCACCAACTGGTGGTCCACGAGAAAATTTTGGTGGTCTGCAGAAACATTATTTGCATTTGTTGTATTGCACTAAATCAGGGGTCCTCAAACTACGGCCCCTGGGAGGGATACGTGCAATGAACGTTTGTGTTGCTGCAGAGAGTCTCCTCCTTTGGGGTCTTTTTGTGGGGGTTGGAGGGGGGCAGAAATTCTGACTTGGGGTCTGCTTCGGCCTCCTCGTGAGGGGCTTTGAGTGAAGGCTGGAGGGAAGAATCGCTGGTGGCGAAGAACCAGAGGGCCTCGTTCCAGTGGGACAGCATCGTGGCCTGAAACTGGCTGACCATCTCAGCCCGCTGAGCCTCCAGGTGCCAGTACCTGGCCTTTCATTCCTGCAGGTCTTCCCTCTGCTTAGAAAGCCTATGCTCATAGTCCTCAGTGAGGTGCTTCTGCTGAGCCTCCTTCTTGGTCAGATCCCATTTGAACTGAGCTGTTTTGCCAACTCTTTCTCATAGTCGCTGCTTAGCTCCAGCAACTGCTTCCTGTTGGGGCCCTAAGGAGCCCGGGTGGGCAGGGGAAGACTAGCTGGGAGGGGAGGGGCGAGTAGAGGTGCCTCTCAATGTGCATGACATCAGGTTGGCCATGCCCACCCAATCACATGCCCACCTAGCCATGCCCCCCCTTGCTGGTCATTAGGCAAATCACATTAGTGGTCCGCGGGATTTAAAATTATGAATTTAGTGCTCCCTGAGGTCCGAACGGTTGGGGACCCCTGAAATAGATGGCTATGATATTAAAACAAAAAAGCAAGTTGGCCTCCAGGAGAACCTGATGAAAGTTCCATCTTGTTTTTATGTGGCCTACATGTAATATGTGTGGGACTGCTGGAGGTCTTCTGAATTAATCCCACCCAGCCAGTGGTGGGATT